GAGAAAGAGGGAGAGAGGGAGGGAGAGAGATGGAAAGGGAATAAATAGCTGAGAGCGATGATGCTCCGAGGGCACGACGATAAATTGAGTCATAAAAGCCTCGGATGATTTCATTCAAATCACACCTCGCATTCATCATCATCTTTATAATCTCGATCCACCGGGTGTTCAAAATTCCCGTCCTCCCTCGGCTTTCCGGCCGTGAAAAACTCCTCGGACGATCGATGTTGGCCGTCCCAGTGAGGAGATGATGATAGTGATTCTCACGTGCTAAGGGGAAGGGCCTCGCCTAAAGGTGATTCTAATGGACAGACTCTGATCATAGCCTCTTCTTGATTGTACGGCATAATTAAGTCGATTAAAGGAGACCGATCCCCGGCTCGAATCCCCTCCGGGCCAGAACTGTTACGCCGAGGTGCGAACTTCTTTCTATGCCTCGGGACATCTTTTTTTTTTCTTTTTTTTTTTTTTGCAGGGTTCTACATGCACGCAAGGGAGTTTTTCTTCCCGATAAATGCACATGTCGCTTCGGTGCTGATGAAGTTCGCCCGCAGGCCAAAGATGAGATTTATCTCTTTTCGATATGTCTTCTCTCGCATTACGCTCACGGCGCAAAATGATCTGAACCACAACCCGGAATGAGACAACGAACAGAGGTGTCCTCTCATGAAGCATGATCTCTCGAAACGATTGGACATTTGGGTTGCAAATTGGCGCAAAATAAATGCTTTGTGCGAGTCTGCTTTTGAGACTCAATTACGCCGTCGTCCACCTTGCTTTTCTAAACTCATGGTGAACGCACGCGTCACCGTCGTGTGCCAAAACGTGGACGTGGAGGATTGTAAAACAGGTGCGAAGATAAGTTAAGGTGGAGAGAATGAACCTGCATTTCAAAAGCCTATTCTCTTATCGGTCGGAGTCTGCCTTCAGAGGAACCGAGTAGCAAAATGGACATAAAACCGATGGAGAATATTTCGCTGAACACGAAGAAGGCGCTTAATATCTCGAGTTGAGGACGCTTCAACTTTCTGAACGGAGGCAGAAAGGCACTCATCGCTGCCTTTCCCGATGGCATGCTCCACTAATTGCGAGATGGTTCGAATTGGGAGAAGTTACGACTGCCGTGAACGGTTCGTGGAGAAAATGTTCAATTCTATAAAAACCTAACCGACAGAGTTCACGGAATTTGTCGGGGATTCTCGGAGAGACGGAAACGCCGTCTCTACGGAGTGCCTCGAACTACTGATTCTCGGGGGACTACATAGAAGTAGCGTCTCCCCTCTCCACAGAGACACAAAGGAAACGTTTGCGACCATCCCACCAGAGTTGAAGGACTCGCGGAAAGGCTGAAGGAATGACTGAGGGCTCCTCGGGCATTTCTCACGATAGATGCGCGCTTGGAAATATTTTTAGTTGCAAGTGAAAGATGATAGGTGAAAAATTTTTTTTTGGTGAACTCGATGAAGATGTGGGCTATTATTATCTTGCATCGAACCCTTCAATTATCCCAAAAATTTGCACAGGATCGCTTGCAATTTGCACAGAATATTGCATTGCAAATAATTCCTGGTGTTTAGTTCCTAGTTTGAAACAAGTTCAGCACCGAAAATATGGAAATGTTCATCGGCTCGTTCATTCAGAAATACAATCCTACTGCAACCCCACGCAAACGACTAGAAGCAGAGGCGTTGATTGAATTACAGTTTCAATGCCGTTTGCGATGTGAATGGTTTTTCTTAGTGCTGTCAGTCTTTGGCGGGATCGAATACAAATTTTCTCGATATGTTTCTGCTGCTAACTTTCGTCTTAGAAAAGGTTTCCTTTCGTGATTCTCAAGTATGTTCTATTTAGATGGCCGAGGTCTGGGAAATTCTCTCTAGATTTCCAGAAGCTTAGATCACATCCATCAGGTCATTTTTTTTTTTCTCATGAAGGAGAGAGGAAAACTGTGCCCGAGGTCTTCTGTTTGACCGGACCATCGCCCGACGTACATCAAGGTAGAAATGAACCATAGACCAATGGTTCTCAACCTTTTCGATCCCACGGCCCACCTTAACGACTGAAAAGTGATCCAAGGCTTAATTTTTGTTCGTCTATCTGGTAACTGTTATTTTAAAACTTAAGGATTCTTGTTGCGGCCCACCCGCGGCACCTCCACGGCCCATCGGTGGACCGCGGCCCACCGATCGAGAACCACTACCATAGACGACAGTCGATTTCAGTTCTGTAAGGTGAAAGGAGTCCATGGATTCCTCCTCCCTCGTTCGCGATAAGTGCACCTGTCCTTCCATCACGCTTGCAGTGCTGAATGTTGACACCATAATGATCCGTTTCTACGGCGTTTAAAAAGTCCGGTCAAAATGGAAACCTTGGAAATGGTTTTCCGCACGGAATCACACGGGAAAGGATATTTTAAGTCGGCGCACCGTGAGGCGTTAAGCATATGACCGACACCATCCCTCCTCCGGCTAGCTGGAGCTTATTATAGAATTGATATCATTTAGGGTGGATTTTTGAACAGAGCATTATCCGATAATGCAGCTTTATTTCGGAGAAAATGCATTATAAATCTTGATATCATTTAGGGTGGATTTTTGAACAGAGCATTATCCGATAGTGCAGCTTTATTTCGGAGAAAATGCATTATAAATCCGGTAAATAAAGCTGCATTATCGGATAGTGCTCTGTTCAAAAATCCACCCTTAGGCTTTGAATCCTCTCTTCCTCCACCCGGAATTTCGGCCTCACGATTCTCGAAAACGAAGCGAGCCAGAAATTGTGATTTCAATCATGCGATGAATCACGCAATCGGCAGCGCCGAAGCGGAGGAAAGGTCGGTGCGGACGGTCGTTCGGACCCTCCAGGCAAGGGATGTCCTCGGAGGATATCCTTGATGTGACCTTGTCCTTGGAGGATATCCCCGATGGGGCCTCGTCCTTGCCTCATGGCCCAGCCTTGCTTCGGTCTATTCTCGTCTCGGGCTAATCAAACGGTCGAAGAGGGCGGTCGGGTTGCTTCTCGAGAGAACAAAGCGAACATTATTTGACTGATGACTCCTTTTCTTTTCCCGTCCTTCTCGGAGAGTCCTGTGACCGTGACCCGATTTATATCAAGGCGCTGAAACCAGACACCACTGCCAGCAGACGACGCCCCTCGTACATACCAGACCATTACGAGCAGACTACGCTTCGTGTCCACCAATCCAGAAAGATCACGAGGAGGCGAGTTGACAATTCTTTTTTGATTACCTTGCTTTGTTCGTGTTTTCCCTCCAAGTTGGAAAAAATGTAAGTAATGTGCACCTACACTGCTTTCGGATTGAATTCACAACCCCCCCATATTGGAGGACAGAGAAAGCACAAATTCCAGAGGATCCGTGAAACCTCTCATATGGAAGATGTCACTACCTGCAACCGATGGAAGAGCTCTATGGGGGGTGGTTATGAATTCAATCCGATAACAGTACACTGTAAGTATACAGAATCAAATCATGGGTGAGAGCAACGTCTTTGAGGTGCCAGAAAATCCGTGGCACCACTTGGACTTGTGGCCCATTCCTATCGAGGTTGGTTATTGTGTGAAGAGCCACTCCCTCACATGCTGACCCAGACTGGTGAGCCCCGGCCGAGGCCCCCTTTCTGGGATTCATCCCCAGCAAATGACTTGATTCATTCGCTGAATCTAAGCGCTGTTCGATGGGAGATTGCTTAGTTGCCCTAAAATTTAATGCTTATTGCGCCTCAACACCTTCACGAGTGAAATAATTTTTCCTCGCTTTTTGATGTCCGCCTTCGAAAATAGTCCACTCGCCCTTTCCCCCTTGCAGTCTGCACCTCACGACCCCCCCTTTTTTCACATCTTTAAAAGATTTGAAACTCCATATTGCTAAATAAAATGTTATTGTTTGGCAAAGTCAATTCCTGAACAAATTGAGCCCCAAACTCCAACTTTCAATATCCTGTCTTCCACAACCTTTCTCTCGTACGCAGGAAAGAGATGAACCCAACCAAATATCTAATTCATTAATCTGGGAAGGCCATGAATGATTTTTGAGGCTCATCAATGACGGCTCGCAATCGATGAAGCTCCTCAAAATTCACATGGCCAACTGCCAGCTGTGGAGTTATATCACTGATATTAATATACTTTTTTGTATCTGCTTATAATATTAATATTTCAACGCCAGTCGATCAGCTATGATAGGCAGTCGAGTCCTGCATTTCTCTGATAAATAAAGACGATACTGGGATACTTTCACAGATGCTATTAGGAAATTCGCCCCAAGAAACCGTTCGCATGCGATCGTCATTTTAAGGCTTTGATCGCCAGAAATATTTCAGTTTCGTCTGTAATGAGCTAGGTGAAATTCTCTCCCGAAAATAAATTCTTTTAGAACCATGTAATATCTGCAAATGCAAACTCTAGACACTGATATATCAGGCTGGAACAGGAGGAGGAACGGCCAGCAAAACTTGAGGGACTGTGGGACTATAACGACTTGCTGATGGCATGAAAATTGCAAGAAAGGAGAAAAAATGGGAACCATTTGGCAATGTCTATAAACGAAGACTTAAATGCTTTCCCATGCAATTAGGACGAGAAGAGGAAACCATTAAATAAACGTGTATTAATCAAAAGCTTACAGTATATATAGGACTTGCCTACTGCAATTTTTATAACTGTCAAGTTCGCAATTCAGAAAGGCAATATTGATTAAACTTTCACGAATGAATCATAGGAGCACTGCACTCTAGCTTAAACTTGCTTGTCACTGAAGGCATTCCCCAAATCATCCATGCAATAATTTCTGCTAGTTGTACTTCAACCCACCCACAACAAATTTGCTGAAGGCACTATTACATGCCATTGATAGCAAATGTAAACGAGAAAATGCGTCTTGAAATGAAGACAACGCCATGGAAAGGGTTAAAAAAAAATTGTATATTCCATTAAGAGAACGCAAGATGGCGGGAAGACAGATATGAACCACGGTACACCGATCACAAAGCAAAACGTAAGGCGTCTATGCGAGAAGATTCGCGGTGTCCATGCACCAGAGCCAGGGCTGCCCAGAGTTTTCCAGAGGCCCGGGGCAAAATTAAATCGGAAGCCTTTTGAGGCCCTTTGGTGCCCCTTGGGACGCGAGGCCCGGGGCAGATTGTCCCCGATGCTCCAACCCCCCCTCCTCCACCTCTGGGTGGCCCTGACCAGAGCCTCTGCTACATCATGACACAGTTCATGAGAACATGCCTTAGCGCTCAACAGTTTGAATTCCGTGGTTGGTTAGAAACCATCAGTTTCGCTTCCTCCACCAACAGGAAAACATGCACTACTTCTTACACGAGACTCATCGCCATTCCCCTAGTATGACGTGCTTTACCGTCGAGGTATAAAGCGGGAAATCGTAGTCCCATACTTCTCAGCAGGATTTTGGTCTGATGGAGAAAACCTAAAAGGGGAGGAGAGATAACTAATTGATGTGCATGGGGATACGGTATTTATTCTTACTCATGGCGGGGCATGCAGCTTTCTCAAAAAGCTGGAAGATTTGTCCGAATAGCGTGGACTTTGGGTTTAGGGATTGCGTTACCTAGTCCAGCAGTACTTTTTATGTTAGCTCCTGAATTCAAAATTTTTTTTTTTTGCTAAAAAGAATGTTAAGGAACTGTTACTGGACGCAGCAACAATGGCAAGACAAGTTACTATTCAATATTGGAAAATTTCTTTGCAACCTGCCCTGAATGACAAAATGCATTCTATCCGGATAAAAGAACCTGTTCAGTCTTATTTCGGGAAGGCAAACACAATTTACAAAATGATCGGCAGACGCTATATTTTCACTAACCTAAGTTGACATTTCGGATAGTTTGTATCAAGATAGACAAGACAAACAGAAACAGCATAATACCAGTTCTTTATTCTTCATCATCCTGGCAATCAATACCTGAATCCATGAACAGCAAAACAGCCATGTTAGACAAAAATCATTAAGTCATGCAGAGATGGAGACAGAAATATCACAGGTAAAACATATCCCCTACAGTCTACAGCATTTTTCTGCAGAAAAGATTCTCTTTTAAATATCAGCTGCACTACTTTGAAGAGTATCTTGGTATTCAATGCCAGTGGTTCATCTGCTTTCCTTCACATGTCTACACCTATCGAAATTTGGGTTTCCCACTCCATTGAATGTATATTAAATAATTTATAATAAAAAAATCAAATGCCCTCAATTGTGGGCACTGGGACTGTAGAGGAAATGAAACATGAATTGAAGACACAACAGAACCATATGAAGAATGAAAAGCACTCTTCATGACAAACTTTCCAAAGCGACAGCCTTTCCACACAGACCTTCTACAATATCTCCATCTGGGAAGACAAAATCCAGAGGGGAACTTGGTGCTTCAAGGAGATTCTCATTGCTTGCCTTCAGTGCCTCATATTCCCACACTTGTAGATGTCTACTTTTCCCTTGCACTGCCAAGACATGAAGTGCTGCTGTCTTGGGGAGATGTAAGAGGTCTTCTGAGGACAATAGGATAAACTTTGTGTCACCTAGAAATTCCTGAGACTTGAAAATGAGCATTTCTTGAGATACATGTCCAGTGCAACCAAGAATGAGGGCCCAATGTGCCTTTTTCCCTCTCTTCAAGCATGGAGCATGGTTTCCATCTGCATCATATCTGACCTCAAAAATTCAGGAATATATGCACTTTTCTCTATTAGTACATTTCAATAATGCAACACATATGAACAACTGTTTCAAACAGTTGTATGACTATGGAAGAGTAGGACTAAAGCACAGACCATAATTTCAGTGGAATAGGTGTTTCTCTTAAATCTGTCAAATTTTTCAAGATCGATGTTGATGCTACCATTAAAAGATGCTCCAAGAAACTGAAGCTATTTCTCTTGAAAAGACCACAAGACTTCATTATTTCTTGAGGGTAGCATTCTAAAAATCAGCTGATTGTTAGTCTCCATGAAGTGTATGGCAGAGTCATGGTCATGTACTGATTTCAAGATCACATCTTATAATGATGTGCTCAAGAAAAAAACCTTTTCCTTTCAAGGGGGTTTTTGTCATTCCCTCAATGAATGGGGATTACTGCCAGTCAGAGAGTGAAACTCCTTCCTAATTCTGGGAGACCCTGATGCTCTTCTTAAAAGTGAAGAACAAGATTATGCACAACAATGCATCATCTATACAAACAGCAAGAAACGCAGAATCATAATTGTTTTTTTTTTTTTACAGCACTATAGAAAAAACCAATTGGCTTTGATATTTTAAGACCAGAGTATCTACATTACACTGGGAAGATGGAGTTTCTTCTATTCTTAATACCTTCATAGCAATGCAAAATTTACCACCAAAAACTCCTATGTCCAAAAATTGAGATGTTTGTCATAGTGGTACAGAGAAAACATGAATCCTTCCAACAGTCCCTCCTTATTACAACCATTTCCTTTCTTCATATATCACAAACATTCTAAGGCCACTGGCTTTGCATATAGATGTTTATGTCTGTTGGGGGGATGTTCTGGAGTCAATGTCATAAGAAGCCTATTTTCTGAACATCCCCCCAGTAAAAAATCAGCAGTAATTGAACCTTGAATTTATTGACTTCCTTTGCAAGGGGCCCATAGGTAAAAGAAAATTGTATGATTCTAATTATCTCCATCTTGGTGCATGGAGTAGCTCATGTCAACTTCCCTGTTTTGCTAGAAGAAAGGATACGGGACAAGAACTGGACAGCCTTGGCTGAGGTAGTAGAAAAGCAGGTCTCTATCACTCAGTGGAAAGACAGTAGAGCTGATGTCAGAGAAGACTCTTGATGCCAGAGTAGCTAGGGCAGAAGCTGAAAACATTTCTCCATATCTTGTTATTCCCAATGCTTTCCCACATTTCATCACTTCATCCACTTTCACAGGCTGTCTGAATAATTGCCCAGCCATACATAAAGCCACAATTCCACACCTATGAAAATAATTAATTTTATACTATCAAGTATTTTTCCTCTCACATCCACTGATATCATTCAAACATGGGATAGATGATATTCATAACCAGATTATGCATTTAATTAATTGCTGATGGAATTTAACTGAACTGGAAAAAACTTCCCTAAAATCTAACAGAAATAGATCAAGCAGCAATGGGTTATCCAGTGGATGTTCTCTGGATATCTAAAAGGTGGATTTCAAACTGTACTTTACTTGAAAATAATCAACATTTTATGTGACTGTCTGCTGTGTGTTTCATCTTTATATAAAGCAAGGAAGACATGATAATGAAAGAAAAAGGCATGTCTCACTGTGGGCCATCTTGTATGAGAGGAGAGATGATGTTTGAGTTGAAGTACACATAGCCATGTGTGATCGCCTCCCTCTGTGAGAGTTGATGCAGGGTTTGACAGATAGCATCAACATCAATCACAGCTGCTTCTTCTCTAGCAGCTTCCAAGGAGATTGATTTAGAAACACACTTTGCAAGAGCACAACATGATGGAATAGGGGGAGGGGGAGGGGGAGGGGGAGGTGGTGGTAATGAAGGATCAGGTGCAAACTCAGGTGTCATAACTGGGTAGCATTAAAGCATCCATGCAATCAAACCTGTCCTGACATCAGAGGAAGATATCTGGAAGAATTAGGTCTGGTTTACCAGTGTTACACCTTTGTAGCCCATTTCATGAAATAGGGTAAGAGCATTTGGGCCAATAGGTTAAAAAATCAAAAAGGTATTTTCAGTATGATTCTTGCAACTCAAAGGCCTGGGAGACTCAGGGATATCCTGAACTTGCAGGTTAGACAATATGGCACCTAAATTGACTGGTAAGGAAGATGGAACATTTTTCAAAGAGGAAGTTGTGAAGTGAATGTTCATGGGACAGATATTCATGCCCTTTCATTCACATTGTCCACCCTCTTCAAGCTTGTCTTGTTAAACTGAGGCACCCATCTCACATTTATTTCCCACATATACAACATGCATTCATGCCTTTCCTTATTATGTGACATACTTCTAAGCCTAGGCTAGGAAGAACAGAATATAGCTGATGGTTATGATATGTAAGTGGTATACATATGTTAGGTATTCAGAGCATGCCTACAACTTAGGAATACCTACTGCAGTTGAAAACTATTTGCAAATGAGAGTATTTTTAGCCATAGAAAGCAAAGTTATTTTAAATATAGACCTTAAGATCATTTTGTTGCTCACTGGTGAAGGAAGGAAGTCAAATTTGAACCATGAATCTGCAAAATTCACTGGCTATTTTGAAAAGAGTTTATTTATGAAACTAGCTTAATGCTTGATCATATAGGCCTTGAGCATTAGATATACCAAATAAAGTGCTGGCATCTTGTCATGCCTTTGGTGATCATAAGTGACATTGCTAACAAATAATGCAGTTTAGGAGGTTTGCTTCAAAGGAACAGCTGCCACATGCACAAGGCACTCCACCACTACTGAACTTTTATTGTCATAAAATGTATGAGGGAAGCCAAAGAGATCAAAGCTAAAAAAAGAAAAAAAAAAAAGCTCCCAGATTTTCTAAAATATTCCACATACAAATGAACTCCTGATTTTTATTCACTTTTCACCTTTATAATGACCCTTACCCAGAGCACACTTCTTCCATTAGCTCCACTAGTTTTTGAATAGCAGTAGCAATTCAATCCTTAGGAGTAACTTTCATCCAATGGCTTATGGCAAATGTAAGGTCAGCCTTCAACCCATACATCTGAATCCATGTAGGAAATTTTTAAACTCTGGGAAGAGATGACAGTCAGATGGGATAGTGTCTGAAGCATGATTGTGGTTAAATAGAATGCTTGGAGAAGGCTATGGATAGCCCTGATGGTGACATGGGCTTCATGAGAGTGGGATTGTCCTACTTTTGCAACACAACCTGGGAGAAGGCCACCACTTTTTAATTAGGGCTTTACTTAGATTACTCTTAAATAGTTGGTAACTATTACAGTGCATTAACCCTTTCATGCATGATGTCCACTGTAGTGGTAAGCAAAATTTTTGGTCACAATGATGACTTTTCAGCCATGGCACACATGTATTGAAACTTTTGGTCCAAGCAGTTGACTCAATGGCACGTAATCTATTTGTTATTGCTTTCTAGTGGTGGAACACATGACTACTATGGCAGAGTATCTCCTTGAAAGTTAAACGAGAAAGGGAATATTTTTGTCTTGCTTAAAAAATTCAAGCAAGCAATGTCAAGCAAGTAGTGTCTATTGGCTGAGCTGGTTAAGGCCCAACTTCAGGGCCGAGCTGGGAAATGGGACCTCAAATATCACTTGTAACATCATAAAGCATGTGGCAGCCTCCCAAACAGAAGCATATCTTTCAAGGTAAATGAAGATGCTTCCTTAGCCTTGTGGGAAGATTTTGAGTAATCTTTTTCAGCCTATCAGCACAAAACTAGGCAGCTCTTCATTATTGAAGCTCTTGGTCATTCAGAAACTTCTGATATTATATCATGATAGAAAGAACACATACATACATGCATTTGAACTAATTTAAGATTTTTCATATTGGGAAGTGGGGAAATTCTTTCTTTTCAAGGGGATGCCTATTTTGAATTCAACTTAATTGAAAATAGAGCTGAGGCATGACATATGGTATATGACCTACTAAAAGGCCAGGCAAATCCAAGCCCCAAGTGGCTCCACAAGAGCATGTCACTCATTAAGGACTCAATTCTGATACTCTATCAATAATGACTTCACTATTAACTGTTTATTTTTAAGGACAGTTGCACTACTCAGCTAGGATTTGTTTAGGAGCTTCAGAGAAAAAAATCAGACTGCCTGCACTTATGCAGGAGATTTAAATCCATGCAATGAAGGTTAATGGCTACTCTTAAGTTAAAATTGTTGAAAACACTATACAAGGGTCATTCAAAAAGTAAAGGCAATTTCTCAATATCTTATTAAAGCAGTATCCACCATAGCTGTTGTTTCCTACATGGTATACAACAACAGTACACATGTGCAAGAACCCCATATTTCCATCGCAAAACACTTGTGGCACCAGTAAGGGCCATATTAAGATGGAGACCACACTAACTGTGTGCACCAAAGAAGAGCAGCATGCTGTTGTGAGATTTTTGTTGTCCAAAGGCCCTAATTGGTTGAAATTCACAGAAGAATGTCAGCTAAGTATGGTGACAGTTGTATAACACAGCACAAAGTGTATGTGTGGGCAGAAAGATTTAAAAATGGCCGAACAAGCCTTGTTGACAAAAGTCTATCAGGATGCCTGAATTGCAGCCAAATTGACTGCAATTTGGTCTATTTTAACTTGCCTGTCCTTGTAAACCATCTCTTCCACCTTCATAAAAATGTCAATTATAATTGATGTGATTGGGTGTCCTGATCGACTTTCGTCAACAAGACTTGTTCAGCTATTTTTTTAACTTTCTACCCATTCATATTCTTTGTGCTGCGTCATACAGCTGCCACCATACTTTGCTGACATTCGTATGGATGAATTAGTGTCCATATTAAGATAGGTTTGCAGTATGGGCATTGAACTTGAAATATGAACTGTCCATACTAATCATGAATGTGACAACCCTCTCTTCCACAGAATGTAGCTATCATCAACTGAGGAAACATATTGAGCCAGGTGCCTTCTAGCTTGGCCTATAGACATTCCCTAATGGAAAACGGGGACGGCCTCATATCTAATGGTACAGAGGTGCAGCAAGATAATTCCACCATTGTGCCACCCTATTTGGACCCTTCGGTACCCAGTCACAGAAACATTCCATTTAACTCACCTGTTATTAATGTGGCTGATTTTTCATACAAGCAGGTTTTCTCACATTTAAAGCTCATTCTTTATTGTCAGCCAAGACTTGATTCCACAGGCTGGCCCTACAGGTAAATCCTTAGAATGGAACTAAGTTAATATCATTCTAGTTTTGCTCGATCTATGTAAGCACAAGCTCATCTTCGGGATAGGCCTAGTCTTAACGATTAGAGACAATTTAGGGTTACGGTTAGCATGGAGAGGGGTCTTAGTGAACGGAGAAAGCTGATTTCGTAGCGTTTCAAGTCAGAAGCTCCTCTATTAGGCTCTGGGGGATGAGGATCTTCCACGTGGATGCCACATGACCACTGGAGGCGACCATCGCAAAACAGCTTCTGATCTTCGACTGGCGGGTATCGTCTGCTGCTGCTGCCGAATCATAAATACTAGCATGGTCGGGTGTAAAGAAGCTATGGAAACCGCGAATTTTATCTTTTAGAATTCAAGAAACACTTCGATCATGGAGAAGACAACATTAGTCTGTTTTGCACTGCTACGAGAACGTGTGTGTCGTCCAGCATGTGGCTCGCGAGAATTTTATTTCACTAAGAAATAGTTTCGAAATATATTAGGGACAGCTCAGGGGCAAATGAGAGTCTAGATTGGTAGTTCACTAGGCTCCCGTGGCAGGGGGACCTTTATTTGAAACCAAGTTGAGGCGTCTTTTCTAAGTGTAAGCCCCTCACATGCCCGGGAGATCCTGGAGCATGAGGCACTCCCGTTTCTAGATGTTTCTAGAACAATTAAGAACCCCGGTGATGAAGGCCAAATGTATGTATCCCTGGAGTAAGCGCGAGGGCCATATTGGATCTTTCAAGGTAAATGGGATGAAAACGATATTTTGGCGAATGGTGTAAAAAAAAAATGTTTATGCGGTCAATTGTGTGAAGAAAGGCTCCATGTTGTACTCCAGCTCACAAATTTAATCTCAAATGTGATTCCGAGGATCTTGAGGCTACAATACCCATGAATAGCTAGCTATCTTCCAAAAATGACCCTTCAGCGAGTCATAATCTGACTGACAGTGGTATGAATCATTTTAACCTGATTGACTAGTTACATAATATGCCCTGAATTGCGTATTATTTAATATACTCTTATACATTTCATCTGGTGAGTGGAGAGACGTGAAGAAGGACATCCAGCGTAACATATTTTGTGGTTCTTTTGAAAATGCCTTCAACGGTCACTTTTCCCATCAGTAGTGAAACGTCAACATTTTTCCTTTTCTCTTTCTGCCTCTCAAGTATTTATTCAAATGATTCTGATCGGACTAAAAAAAAAAAGCGAGTGTTCAATACTGACCGAAAATCCGGAATCCATGTTAGGCAGGTTTCTTCTTGGCCCAAGATCGAGATGACTCTGATAATTCCTCGTAGATTACATGTTTCTAAAGTTGCACCTATAGACGCAGCTATACTTCGGCCGGGCCCTTTCCCCCAACGCAATTTCCCCTTTTCTGGCTCAATTCTTGTTCCTTCGATGGGGGTCTGACGTAGAACCGGCGAGATTTGATACTTGATCAAGACCGAATTTTGCTTGATTGAGCATTAGCAGTACTACCGACGAGTGCCTGGCCAAAATGGTCGCCTTGGATGCGGCTTCTGAATAATTCTGTCACTCTGGCACTATTGGCTACTGCAGCAGAAAGTACACCCTGAAACAATCCAAGGTAATACACGGTGCAAGTAGAGAATTCTTCCTGTCCTTTATCGCATGGTACCTCTTTGGCGTCACTTATTCGAGGGAATTGATATTTTGTGGATCCGCACTGGAAACCTGATAAGATCATGCAGGGAAGGTAGGCAGCCCATTTTCACATTTTGCCTACGCACAGAAAATTCAGTGCCTCAGTTTGATGCATTTTCATCGCGAAAAAAAATCTGTCCTTCATGTGATGCGCCTTTATCGCATCAAATTTTGAATGCGATAAAAACGCATCACATGGAGGAAAACTTTTTTCAGGACCTAAATGCATTAATTTGATTCTGCGTGTATAGGTCAGGTATATGATGCACCTTTGCAGCATCGAAATTTGGCTTGTATGTCCATCATTTCAGCAACACCTAAAACGTCCGTGCATTGTCCCATAGTGATTCACGTGGCATGCCTGATACGAGATCTACATGTAATTCTTTCTATCAGAAGCGGTAAAATCTCACAAGACCCAGGTTGAACTCGGCTAAAAAGTGCAATTCACTCTGTAGAAGGCATCATTTTGGACCAATTTTTTGAAAAAACATTTACCAGGCCATGTGGGGTCGCTTTTGGACCTCATGCCGTACTTTTGTAATGAAAT